TACGACACAAAGGAAAACCAATAAACACTAAAATAAAATACTAACCTACTACTAGACTACTAACTAAAAGAAAAAAATCTAACACGAACATCGGCAGCACAAGACAGGGTGCCCTATCCCGTGCTGCCGATGCGCGCGACTATAAATACAAATAAGAGGAATGCTCCCGAGGCTTCACCAATACAGATTCGCCACGCGTCGCCGAATAACGGGCGCGACACCTCTCCGCTCTCGAAGTTCGTAATAGTTCGTAATAAATATCCCACATCTCAAAAGCTTCAAAAACGACTCGTTCGAAACAATCCCAAATTAGACTTGAATTCCAATCCAGTATGAATTCCAACATGCTTAATTACTACAACGAAAGTGACGTCAAAGGCGGGAGCTAACTGCCAGGCACGAGCGCAATAGGGAACATGAGAAAAAATTATCGATCGAAAACGAGGCAGACAGGAAAGCAGACAGGCGCTGAAATGAGGCGCCGCCGCTGTATATACAATACCGCCCATAATTCGTCAAAAAAGTTACCGGACTGCGGCGCACTCCGCCACACTCCGCCGCAGTGCGCCGGAATGATCGTCAATTTAGCCATATTTCGCTTCAGAATGGACGGATTCTGAATCGAAGACACCGTTCGATTCAGCTCCTCGAGACGCATCGTCTTATATATGAAGCTGAACGTCTGTTTGTCTGTTTGTCTGTACGTATGTTCCGAATAGAAAATTCCATTTCTGAACCGATCCGGAACAAACTTGGCACACATACACTTCGGGCCCCGGCGGGTGTCATAGGCTACTTTTCGTCATCAATCGATATCGATTTTATCAATTTTTATCGATTTTTTTGCAGAGTTCACCTACGGGGCCGGGAGTTGGCACAGGGGGGTAAGTGAGCATGGGGATTCCGAATACAACATTAGTTTGCAGAATTATCGATTATCATTTTGGTTAAATTCAGTGTGCTGATAACAGTTTACCATTGATCTGTCGCTGATGATACATAGACAGTACACTACAGGAGTATGGTACGTAGTATACTTGGGTAATTCGAAAATTTTTCATCGAATGAATGAATATCGAATAAATTCGAAAATGAAAAATTTCGAATAAACGAATATCGAATAAATTCGAAAATGAAAAAAACCCGAATAAACGAATATCGAATAAATTCGAAAATTAAAAAAACTCGAATGAATGAATTTCGAATAAATTCGGAAAATCAAAAATATCGAATGAATGGATATCGAATATATTCGAACATTGGGAGTCGAATTTCGAATAGATATTCGAATGATTTTTCGAATAAATACTGCAACATATCTAAAGCTTGCTGACATTTCTGGCTAAAACCGATTCATTCATAATCAGCACCCTCATATCCCCTACACCAACTCCTAGCTTAAGCTTTTCCAGAAATCGGTGAAATCGATAAATAAAAATTTTGTTTATATCAGCACTCTCACTTACCCCCCCCCCTGTACCAAGTCCCAGCTCCGTAGCTCAAAGCTCCCCAGAAATCGATAAAATCGATAAACAAAAATTTTATTCATAATCAGCACACTCACTTACCCCCCTGTACCAACTCCCAGCTCCGTAGCTCAAAGTTTCCCAAAAATCGATAAAATCGATAAACAAAAATTTTGTTTATATCAGCACTCTCACTTACCCCCCCCCTGTACCAACTCCCAGCACCGTAGCTCAAAAATCCCCAAAAATCGATAAAATCGATAAACAAAAGTTTTGTTCATAATCAGCACCCTCACTTACCCCCCTGTACCAACTCCCAGCCCCGTAGCTCAAAGTTTCCCAAAAATCGATAAAATCGATCGGCGTCCACTACATTTCAAGGGCAGTTTAGCAGAGTAGCAGCAAATGAAATTGGCTGGGGCTGAAATTTAAAAATGAGGCTTGCACACGCTATACATCAGTGGTGAGCTGGCGTTACATCTGAAGACATCTGTAACTCATTGATAGAAAAAGCATCAATTAAAATCCACATTTATTTTTTTCAATGTCGCAAGCAATCGGAGGAATGTGACTTTCCATACAGTTCAAAGGTCGTTACGGTTGCAAAAAAGATGCATTACCTGGTCTTGTAAAAAAAATACGAAAACGAAGCGAGCTTGGTACTCACAGTTGGCTCTGCAACAAACTTGAATAATTTGGATACGGAGTTCATTCGAATACGAATTCGAATAAACATTCGAATAATACATTCGAATAAAATCTATTCGAAAACCCGTTTTTCGATTATTCGAGTTTTCGAATATTATTCGAATCCTCGTTTTTTGATTATTCGAGTTTTCGAATTTTATTCGAAATCCTGTTTTTTGATTATTCGAGTTTCGAATTTTATTCGAAACCCCGTCTACTCAATCATTCGAGTTTCGAATATTATTCGAAAGTGGAAAAACTCCGAATATCGAATTTTCGAATCGAATATATTCGAATGTTTTATTCGAATGATCGAATTTCTATTCGATTCGGACCCAAGTATAGTACGTAGAGAGCCACTCTGATCGAATTTGTTCTAAGATCTGCTCAAGATCACAATACCGCCCATAGAATGTCAAAATTTCCGTGAACTTCGCGTAATTCTGGGATTTCCGCCAGAGTGCGCGATAATCCGGGAAGTTCGCGACATTTCAGAATCCGCGAAACCATGCGAATCACGCAGAGTACGCAACGCCATAACTTCCTTCGGAATGAATATATTCCGAATCCAGAAGCAGCATTGTGTTCAGACCGTCAAGGCAAATATTTTGATATACAGTATGCTCTCGATAGTCCATTTCCAGTTTTTTCGAATTTTTTCTGTCGAGGTCTTTTCGCAAGGATGTAACGCAGCGTCTGTGTAACATAAAAGATTCTAGTAAGCACTGTTCGATAGCACTGTCCTTGTAGGTTATCGTGCGTTCAAGAGTAGCTGTAGACTGTCTTCTAAAAGAGATAGAAGCGTTGGTGAATTTTGGAAAAATCACGCATTTCTAAATTCTACTCGCCGTAACTTCCTTTGAAATGAACGTATTCTGAATCCGAAGAAAGCTTTGTGCTCAGTTCATCAAGGCAAATCTTTCGATATACAGCGTATCCTTGATATTCCGAATTCAATATTCTCAAACCTTTCTGTAGACGTCTTTTCGCGAGGGTGTAAAGCAGCGCGCATTGCCGTGAGCGCTTTTCTTCCGTGAGCGCTTGTACAACGCGCTGATCGAATCCTTCCACATTTTTAATGGATCTTATTGTGTTAGATTTGGTGCTTTGAGCTCTAGCCACAAAATAACTTTGATATTCAATTGAGCAGCTAAGCAGACGCAAGCACCATATTCAGTACAGTGGAAGTCGTTCGACGAAGCGAACATAATATCTGCAACGAGCGTCATACAAGCGCTCGCGGAGGAATTTCGACGAAATAAGCGATCTTTACATTTTGAACAAAATTCATGAGGATGTGTTTTCGTAGGCTCGTAACTCGGCGAATTTCACAGACCGGAGCCTAAGTAATGCACCATTCGATAGCGCAATTCCTACTAACTTTGAATAAGAAAAGCAGGCAGGCAAGGTTTCCGACGAATGCGCGAGAAGTGCGGCCAAATTCATGCACTTTCATGATGCAGGTACAGTCACCTCACCGTATCTCTCCAAAAAGACCTTGTAATCCTCAAAGACGATTTTCATAAGCGGCGTGTTCGAAAACCTCTATGAGCGGCGTTTCTTTACAATTCAAGATCATCAATATTTTGACCAAAATCCACCGGCCAGCTTCAGAGCGTCAGACAAGAAAAAATGAAAACACCCGAACATCTCGGAAAACTTGTTCATAAGAGTTATCCGACCTGGTGATTACAAAACTCACATCTGCTTAGCAAGATAGCCTCGTATTTTAGGGTTGCGACGAGTAGAATTTGGGACAACAAGATTTTTTTTACGATTTACCAGCCTTTCTACCTCCATTGGAAAGATGCCTGTGACTACTTTTTAGCGCTACGTAATCTACAGAAAAAGTACTATCGAAAGGTCCTTGCTGGAGTCTACTAGGGGCAATGCGCGCTGCTTTACACCTTCGCGAAAAGACGTCTACAGAAAGGTTTGAGAATATTGAAATCGGAATATTAAGGATACGCTGTATATCGAAAGACTTGCCTTGATGAACTGGGCACAAAGCTTTCTTCGGATTCAGAATATGTTCATTCCGAAGGAAGTTACGGAGTTTAGAAACGCGTGATTTTTCCAAAATTCACCAACGCTTCATATATAAGACGATGCGTCTCGCCGAGCTGAATCGATCGATGTCCTCAGATTCAGAATCCGTCCATTCTGTAGCGAGATATGGCTAAATTAACGATCATTCCGGCACACTGCGGCAGAGTGTGGCGCACTCTGCCACACTCCGGCGCACTGCGCACTTTTTTGACGAATTATGAGCGGTATTGTAGCCCTTTGGCTGGCAACGCGCCAAGGCGAGGAGAGGTCCAGCGGCGATTGCGGCAAGCGTGGGAAAGTACCGTAATCGTCGCCGAGTAGCGCGGCGGCAACCTGTGCTCCCGGCCTCCTACTTCTAGGAGCGTTCACATCGCCGAACCGCGACAATGGTCCCTTAGATTACGTTCAATAAGATTGTCTTTACAAATATTTTCAAATTATCTTTTTAAGAAAAATCAGATTTTCTCTGGAGTTATTAATCCATGGTTTTGAATTTTGGGGAATTTTCACAATGTTCTAGACATTCAAATAACTTTGATACAGCAGGATAGGGTCGAGCTATTGCACTGCAACTTTTTTTGCAACTCTCTAGCCATTTTCACAAATTCTCAAAACAAATTTTCGGAATTCCATGCGTATCGGCAAATTCACTATCCGTCAAATGCTGAGCAGTTTTTGGGATTTGAAGGATAAACTGGATTAGTAATCTATGAAGTGAATGAGCAATTTGTGCGCCAGGATAGACGGTTTCAAAGATTTCTGGTGCAGCTTTACTAAAATTTTGAGAAATACGGCAATTTACGCAAAAAGTTGTATTATAAGTTGCCTGAATTGCTTGTCTGTTGTTGTTATGTCAAGGCTGAACCACTCATAAACTTGAACACTGAAAATTTGAAATTTGAAAAGCCAGCATCGTGAGCGCCTTCCAAATGTACAGAAGAAAGGGTTTTTTATTGATTTAAGAAGGTTATACATTTGGTCTTCAATGTTGGATTTGAAAAAAACTGGCAACTTGCCAGATCGCGTGGCGAATGAAATTGCGTGAAGTATGCCAGAGGCATAAGAAATGCGAAAAAGGTCTCACATTACAAAAGATTTGCTTTAGCTGCTGATGTTTGTTCTTCAAAGTTTGAAATAAAAAATGTTATTAAGGTATTTTTATCAAGATAAGTGCAGATTTTGATCAATGATTTTTACCATGCCCAAGTTTCGCAATTTTTCACATTTTTTACTTTGAACTTTTGGAGGAGTTTTGATGACTGTCGGATAGAGCAAACAAAGTGCAACGCTATAAAATTTCTTAACGTCTTTAACTACCTTTTCAGATTTACCGAAATTTTTCTCTGATGGTAACTTCCACATTTGGTCAAGTTAAGCCTCACAGAACATTAGCCGACAAGCAATTTGGGTATTGCTCAACATTTTGTTTTCCCGACTTGTTAAACTTTTGGAGAAAAAATTACTCAGAGTAGATTTTTGAACGCTGCCTATGGCTTCCAAAATTTGATATCTCGAAACGAAGGAAGCTTATTTGCTTTGTGAAAGTAGTGTTAAATAATTGTCGAGTTTTAGAATTCTAAAATTCCAAAGTTTCTCAGTGTTTGATGTTCATCATCACACGACTTTTCAAAAGTGAAGACTTTTGGAAAAATCATTAGAAAAAAATCTGGGAAGAAAGTCGAAAATGCCCGAAAAATTTGTTTATTAATTTGTTTACGCTATCACAAGTTATCACAGCTATTCTAGAAGTTGAAAATGAAAGTCTTGCAAAATTGCCAAACTTAAGCATGTTACCATGTACTTGATACTTTTGCAGTTATCTTAATAACCATAAAATCAAATGGTCCCAAAATATGACTGCTGGAAAGCGAAAGAAAACTGTAGAATAGCTCTTAAAGTTTACCGGTATTCGTCGTCTCCTTATGACAACTCGAAAAAATGGGAGGAGCTTTCGATTCGACATTTCTACCTATCAAGTCAATGTATTCATGACGTTACTTGTGTATTAGAAAAAGGCATGGAGCTTCCGAAAAGATAGATATTGATTTAGTATGAGTGAAGATTAAAATTGATTTAGTATTAGTAAACGATATTAGCTTCGATTTTTGTGCTAGCAAACAGTAACTGCTATCTCTAGCTAGGTAATGGTAATGAAGTAAATTCGTGTAATATGCTTTGAGACTAAAATTATCAAAGAAGGTTCTTTCAACAATGTTCTATTTTTTCCATTCGGCGAGGATAATATAGCTTGTACAAAATAAAATCCTGAGAGAATGTTTGTTCATGTTAGGAAGAGGAGACTTTCTTGCCAAAGACAATTTCTTTGCTATTTCAGCACTTAACATTAGTCAAAAATTCGAATATTTTAACCTTTGTGGTTTTTGGAATACTTCAAAACTAGTGAATCAGCAATCTCAAAGGTGCTAGTTGCAGGCGCCTCGCTTGGGGACCCAATCGCTTTCCTCCTATTTAATAATTTTTGATGCACCTTACAATTCTTTACATATTAGATTACGAAGACAACTCTGTAATAGTTCCCGTAATCACTAGTATTTTGATGTTTTTACTATTTTTTATAGAAATAAACTGAACCCTCGTCGTAGAAACCTATAAACCTTCCACTGTCTTATTCGCGGTCACAATACTCAAAAATTAACCTGAAAACACTTTCGTCATTTGTTTTAACTTACTGCTCGAAAATTTTACTCACTATTAGCCTCGAAATTAGCCTGTAATGTTAATTGTGCAAGCCACATTGAAAATCTTATTTCGGAACAAAGCATTTTCCTCAAACAGTTGCGTTCTGATTTCGAACTCAGCAACTGCTGTCACGTGTTGGAAAGTATAGCTCTGGAGTTTAATAAGTTAATTTTCAACGGTGCCAAGCAAGAACAAGGCCGGTTAGGATTCCATTGTTCGTTCCGAAAGTTGTGCCGTTTTCAGACCTACACTCAAGTCACTGATCGACAAACGCCTTTAGCAGCGTTCGATGCAAAATTTCTTTTTCTATTGAGCAGTGAAGGTTGTTATGATTAATTTAATGACCACTCGAATAATTGTCGGAATCTCCAACCGTTGTTTTCAGTTACCATAGTTTTTGATAACTTTCAAATCTTCCATTTCAAACTTTGAATAGGTTTGTGACAGTCAATTAGAGTGATGAAAATTCAAATACAATGGATTTTTAGGGCCTTAGGCCCGTATGCACGTACATCCCCGCGGGGAGGGGAGGGGATCTCAGAGGGGAAGCGTCATATCTTGCTAGTCTGTATACCTTTCTTCTTCTTTCTCTGTCTTGCTTTTGAAGGTTCTCATACACTGATACGTGCGCATAATGGATGCTAGGTTACTGCTATACAAGATTAGATAATCACTATTTCGTCTGATCCCCTGGGGGTCCCCAGGGGATCAGAAGAAATAGTGAATATCTAATCTTGTATGGCAGTAACCTGGCATCCATTATGCGCACCAGTGTATGAGAACCTTTATAAGCAAGATAGAGAAAGAAGGAGAAAGATATGTAGACTAGCGAGATATGTATATGATGCTTCCCCTCTCAGATCCCCTCCCCTCCCCGCGGGGATGTACGTGCATACGGGCCTTAAACTGGCTTTCCGGCACTTTCCAAGATGAATTTCTCTGAAGTCTTTGCTTTTGCGAAGTCGCAAATTCCAAAGGATTCAAACACCAATAAATCTCTTAAACTTCCAAACAAAAATTATGATTGAACAAATTAACGCTTATTATACAAGGCAGCTGAATGTTTATGGCTTCGAAATGCAGAGTTTCGGATTCCCAGGGTACGGACTGGAAGTGTTTAGAACAAAAATGACGATTTTTTTTCCTCAAACTTCAAAAACTGAAAAGAAGAAAGACTTACTAAAAAGAGAAAAAAGTTGCGTCTAATGACATCTTACATGCTCGCCGTTTGTTGATGAGGTTCGAAATGTCCAAATATGAAATCTGGTAGCATTGAAAAAAAGGAATTTAACAAGTCAAGACCTAATATAGATGCCAAAAAACCCATTGTGCTCACACTTCGTTTTCTGTTCAACTGTCATTGAAGCTCTTAATGAAATTCTAAATCGGAAGCTATCAAAAAAATAGCTGAATTCAGGGTAGGTAAATAGCATGGACTGAAGACGTCGCCTACTTTATTCTGACATGAGTGATGTAAGATCTGATGCACGAACTTTCGGACCGACCTGATGATGCTAACATAAATTTATTAAGTTCATTAAAAGGAGCGAGAAGCAGTTTTTCAACGTTAGAAATTCCGCGAGCACAATGTGGAAATCTACAACACTGAAAGCTAAGGTATTTCTCAGAGTTTGATTGTTTGTAAAAAAAACTAAAAATGTCATCATCACTCCTGATTGCTGCTGATTCAAACAAAGCCAAAATGGAATGAAAAGAAACCAAGCCCAGAGATTGTAGCCTTCAGATTATAACGGTCTCGAAAGTAAAAATATTTCGTATCTTTATTTGAGAAGAAAAAGTTAAGTATTACAAACAATCTCGAAAAGAAATGAAACACTGCCAGTGATAGGCGTTACGCTCGTAGAACGTACCCAAGTTCAAGGTAGAGAATAGAAAATCTCCCAATCGCTGATCGATTAATACAAGTGGTGACAGGTTCAATGTTTAGGTTTTTCCTTTTGCTTATTTGTCATCGGGTTTCTGTTTTGCTTCTTTGCTATCTGTCTTCTTTGTCTTTGTTTTCCGTCTTGCTTATTTGTCATCGGCTTTCTCTTTAGCTTCTTTGTCATCTGTGCTTCTTGTCTTTGTCGTTTCTTTTCTTGCCACTTTTCCCATTTTTGCAGTATTTCAGCCCTGCACTTCTCAACGCACTTTTCATTTAGGCAGTCCTCGTAGCAGCGCTAAAATATCACTATTAGATTCCAGACCTAAACTATCAAGACTATCTTGACCAAGCTGCTCATTGACATACATCGTTGATGTAGGCCTCACGGCATTTGGGGTCAGTTATTAGGCATGGTCTCATGGGGTCTTTCTTTTTTGTCATCAAGTCCCATCGATTTTTCACTGCTACCTTGCAGTCGTCGTAACAGACTTTAGGATAATCTGCATTTCGGCAGTCGTCTTGGCAGTGCTGAAATATCATTATCAAAATTCAGACCAGGGTCAAGCGTGTGATGCGACTGTCGCAACGGGGGGTCGTAAGCGGATACTTACGGTGAGGGGGGGGGGGATCGTAGAAGGAGGTAGTTTGGATTAAAAAACCGTAAGCATGGAAGGAAATCGGATGGCAAATAATAATTACATGTTCTTAACAATAAATTCATGGAATGCCGTGTCCAATGTATCAAATAAAAACGTGAACAATAATTTGAAAACACTTGCAAACGTAGAATTTCGCTCCATTTGCTGCACTTTTGAAAGATTATGACTTAGATCATCTTTTTAATGGGAATCACTATTTCTTCCGCAAAATTTTTTCGCAAACCGGGATCGAACCCTGCTGGCATGACTAAAATTAAAAAATAAACACATGTAGGTGTGATAAAGATGTTGGATGTACCGATTGGTGTAGACATCCTGCTTCCGAAGGCTCACTGAAGACTCGCACGCTCGACAAAAGCGCATATCTCTATCGACGCCAATTATCAATAATTCGTAAATCTGTTTGTAATGCTTTTCATACTGTCCTTACAATTTATGTGTACTTAAGAGGTGCTCTACTACACTTATGCAAAATTTGGTCCCACTTTATGGCCTTCGGATTTTCTTATGATTTTATGTATGATGGCAAAAAATGGCAAAAGGGGAGTCGTATCTGGGTCGCATCTAAATTTTTCCAGAGCTATTGAAGCTTGTTGGCTGCAATTTTGCTGTAATACGAGGCCATTCTCCTACTTTCTATCCTAAAATTTCAGGCCGTTTTATAACTTCTCCGATGAGTTACAAAATTTTAAGCTCAAAAATCCCAGTTTTTGCTTTTCAGGATCGCATCTAAATTTGCGAGAGTCGCATCTAATTTTTTCGAGCTTACTGCTCCTCAAGAGCTGAAACTTTTTCTATGCATAGTCTGGGCACTATACTACAGAGTCTGTGCTTTGCAGCCTCTCAGACTTTTTCTGGTTCTAGTTACGAATTTTCAAACTACCGTGCTCATGCACGTTTTTGACGTCGTTCTGGACGGCGCTCAAGCGGTTTTTTTTGCGGGAAAAAATGTGGAAGAGTTAGGAAGTAAGCTTCTTAGTCGAAAACATCTTTTGTTGTTCAAGAATGTCATCTTCTTCTCCGTGCAAAAATTTGTGTCCCTTACGGGAACCGAATTTGCTGGCCTGAAGTATGCCTGAAAATTCAAAAAAAAACTTGCAGAGTCTCAAACACTATTGAAGGTGTTTATGTGCGCCACACATGTTGCGTGCACCTATTGGCTTAGAAATTCTGCTTCCGAAACCTCACTGAAGTTCCACGATGTTTTTTGAGATTGGCATTTGCTTATGCAGGTTACCGCGAAGAATCTGGGCAGGGGAGGTAAGGGAATAAATGGGGGGGGGGGTTGATGGGACGAGGGTCGTACGGATGGGTACCTTTACGGGGAGGGGGTCGTAAATGGGGCCCCGGATCGCATCAACACGCTTGTCCCTGATTCAGACCTGAAATCTCACTATCAAGATTATCTTCACCGAGCTGCTCATTGAGTACCTCGTCGATATAGTTCTCTTTGCATTTAGGCTCCTTCATGCATTTGATGAATTTGCCACTAAGCATATCAAGGTCTTCTCCTTGACACAGGCACGCCAGAAGAGCAAAGAAGTATATGCTGATAAACCTCATGTCGAATTCTAAAAAAATGCCTAATTGTTTTAGGCCAATAAAAGAATAGATTGAAGAGTGGAAAACAAAATCTAGTTGTAGAGAACATTGGAGGAGGATGGAAGAGGCAGGAGAGCGTATGGTGAATTAAGGAGTTGTGTAACGTATGCACATTTTGCTCAATGAATTTTTTATGTCAGCGAGCATTCTAGAGAAATTTGTGCTTTGTAGATATACTAGAGTAGTAGATTGAAGCAAGCCGCAGCAAAACCGTCAAGGAGAGAAAAGAGTGAAGTTGCTTGACACAGGCACGCCTATATTTGTTTTTAGCGCTTTCATTTGTGATGAAAAATCATCAAAAAAGCCGAGGTATCGTTAAGCGGGCTACCATTCTAATCAGGTGGAATAAAAATGCTGCAAAAGTTACATAGCGAGAACAAATCGCATTTTAAACGGCCGTTATGCGTTTTTTAAGACGATCTAAAACCATACACAAATTTTTTTTGAAAACTTTTGCAGTATCTACCTAATGCATAAGCTCTATAATTAAAATGTTGAACAGGAGTTGTAAGTAGTGTCGACATAGTGATTATTAGCGCAAACTTGTTGAGACCAGGGCACGGCAGGGGTGGCTTACCAAGCAAGCTGCATATCGTTCTCGGGGAAAAGCAAAGGGGATAGGTCATTTGAACATTTTATGAAGCCAACATCAACTCAAGTATGTTAGACTTTTGCACACATCTTACTATCAGATTGTGTAAGTTCGGTCGCGCATCCACTTACTTTTTTCCTAATGTTTTGTGCTGTACCAAATTGCATAGGTGCGTCTGAAAACTCTTTTTCGTCCTATCAAATTCGCTCCTTTATCCTCCTAAATTAGTGAGTTTGAAAAAAAAGTCAAAGATTTTGAAATGAACGTTAAAGAGTGGAAATTTCATTTTTGAAAACTACTTCACTTTGCCTTCCGAATAGTTGAGAATGCTTGCAAAACAGCTAAAAATTTGCGAGGTGTATAATTGTGCTATAGATCCCGTACACCGTTCAGATTTGCTAATTTAAAACAGTGGCTTGGTAATAATTGCGAGTGGGGATTTCCACAACTACATGGCCTTCTAGACCAGCTGAGTGAAGTACTGTGCTTGAAAAGTCAAAAAATACTTTTTTGGAGATCTCCGCCTTGGGAGATTGCTGAAGAGGCAGGCTAGGGATTTCCGTCAACTGTATCGTATTGATTACTTGAACTGATCGGCCAATTGCCGCCAAAATAGGTGAAGTTACAGTATCCTGCAGTCACTTGCTGGTTATGGAATTCCTCATCCCGCCCCTCCAGTAATCTGCAAGGCCGATAAACTCCAGAAAAAAACATTTTCTTGACATTTCAAGCACAGTATATGACTCAGCTGGTTTAGAAGGTCATGTAGATGTTAAAAGCCCCTAGTTGTGATTTTTCCGAGCCGTTGCTTCAAATTCACATATTGGCTTGGAAATCGGTTTCATTTTATTGTCTCTTTAATTTCAACAACAGGGACACTGAAGGCATTTGAGAGAAATGATTGCCGAACAAATTGGGGCAAAGAGATTGGTGGCTGTAAAAGTCGAGTTCATCGGTTGCTTACAAAGAGACTCGCAATATGTGGGACACATAGCTTGAGCAACAGCGACGAACATATGCATATGACGGCGAACAGTGTTTCGACAAAGCTTCAATAGCCTATCTGCTGGCTGTAAGCTTCCCTGAACGCCTCAATCAAAAATTTTGAAAATTAGCGAAACTTTGACATGGCGAAAACGAAGGCTTGTAAATTTCAGCACTCTCTCGACGACTCACTCTGTAAAATAGCAGCTGCAAAGAGGAGGAAATGCTACATCGGATGCAGAAGTGTTTGTTAGCCTTTATTCTACCGTATTCGCCGATGGATTCAAAATTGACAACTTTTGCACCGACCTAATATGCATAAGCGTATTAACATACATCATTAGATTGTGTGATTCCGTTCGCATCCTTTTAAGATTTTACTCAATATTTTGCTTAACTCTTGACTAATTGGATATATGTGTTTAAAAGCTGCAAGCCTGTTTATTCCGCAAATCAGCAGGGGATCTCATAAGATATTTTGGCTTTTCAACAAAAAATACAAAGATTCAGAATAACTCTTGAAAATTGCACTTCCCTACAAGTTCCTCCTTTTTCATGGGTAAAATTACTTAATGAACATGAAAACACAAATGAACAAAAGATAAATCTTTTTTGTAGGTTCTGTCAATTATGCTTGTTCGCTCAATTTCACATCTGCTTAATGCCATCTTTTGGATGTCGGCGAAACAAGTCTTTGTCGGGACAATGTTCTCCTTCATATGGAGGTAATCTTCGCTGTTTCATGCTATGTGTCTTCCAAATCGCGAAATCCTTTCCAAAGAACTGGTAAGTTCGAAAATTCTGCAACTATCACTCCTTTTGCATAATTCTTGGACCGTTCGGCAGTAATTTCTCGCAAGCCTTCGGGTGCCTACTTTGAAATTGAAGAAAAAATGAAACGATTTCCACGCTAGTGAAGTGAAAATTGATTCAGCAATTCTTAGCAGTGCACGAATCCCATAGCAATCATCTCCACGTCGCAGATTCAAGCTGTTTAGCACTCTCACCTATGGAAGGCGAAGTAAGATAGTTATCTAAAATGGATTTATCACCTCCTTAACTTTCAGTGTGAAGTCCTTGACTTATTTCCAAATTCAGCAATAGAGGAAAATAAAGGAAAAAGTTGATGGAGCAGGATGAGAGTTTTTGGACGCAGTTACACATTCTGATACGACAAAAAACACCAGAAAAAAGCGAAACGTGAGAATGGATTTACACAATTTAATAACAAATTCTTCGTTATACAAGTATAACATACTCGAGATCCTCACTATATCGAACAGTACTTACAGCTTCTGATCAACGTACTAAAATGTAGCGCTTTTGTATCAGGCAATCACTGTCAAAAGTTTTCAAAAATTCTTGTGCGTGATTTCAAATCATTTCAGGGAAAACGCTCAATGGCCATTTGAAGAGCAAATTTTTCTTGCATGTATAATTTTTGCAGCTTTTATGCCATCTGATTTGTATGCCAGGCCGCTCAAGGGCACTTTGGCTTTTCCTAATAATTTTCCGATATCAAATAAAACCGATGCAAAACAAATATAAGTGTGTTTAAGTTTCAAACTCAGCAAAGGAGAAAAGTAAAGAAAAGATCTGGTAGAATAAGAGTTTTTGGACGCATTTACGCATTTTGATACGACACAAAACACTAGGAGGAAAGCGAATAGACGTGAGATTAAATTTACACAATTTGATAATAAGTGAATGCGTCGCAGCAATTTTGCACCTAACCCTCACTATATCTACAGTACTTTTAACTACTTTTTGATCAACCGATTATAATCAGGGTCGAGCAAGAGGTGTGCCACACAACCGCCGGATTCCCCCCCCCCTCCCTAAGTTCTCCATATCCCCCCCTCTCCCCATTTTCATTTGCCTACGGTAGGCAGGAAATGAACGCTTTATCTAGCACAATTAGTAACATATTTGTGATTATCATGTCAGATAATCCCTGTGGGCCAAGTTTTAGCGAATTCTGGGGTTTCCTAATATTAGGCCACCCAAGTGAAGTGGCCATTTTCAAACATGATTAACTATTCCAAAAGTGAAGTAGCTACCTCTTCTTGTACTCAATACGAAGCACTACTCCTACTTGCCTACACCATGGATCCCGCTTGAAATAACCATCAAGCTATAGAATAGGGAGCCGACCAAAATCTTGTTTGTCCCATTTTTAGCATGCGGTGGTTGTGCTTTCAGCAACTATTGTTCAAACGAAAGAAAGCGAATTCAGCTGCAATCATTTCTACAAAAACTACGAGATTTTTGCTATCGAACTATACCTAATTTGTTTCCTAAGGTTCTCTCTGAAGGTAAGTTAATGGAGTGTGACAACCCCTACCGAGCTGTGGGGGCCAAACCCCGTCTTCAAAGCATTCAAATATCTGCGTTTTTTATATCGTTGCTGTTGCTCAACCTTCTTCTACACACAGTAGAAATCTTTTGAAATCGTTTTTTTTTCTAACGAAAGATATAGTCGTTTTCCCTGGAGGGCGTGCAGTAGTTCCTAGCACCTTTCCTCGCACTAACTTCACACCAGCATTCGCATCCAAGAAGGTTTTAGCACCTCCGCCCTTAGAGGTCAAACCCCGCCCATTTCTCCACCCAGTTACTGGTCTCATTGTGAGGCGTGCAAGCAGCGAGAACTTAGTTTCAGATATTAAGGTAATAAGAAAGAAAAATGGCGAAAAACGGAACATATGTAGATATATTTTTCAGTTGAGGCGGTTCGGAAACTTCTACTATGCCATCCTTTTGAAGAAAAGCGTATTAATTATTTCCAGAAGAGAAAAATCGCACAGAATGATTGTTTTGTAAAAAACCCGGTCATTCGAAATATTAGAGGTCCAGTTGACCAATTGTACATTATGGTCATCTGGTTGAAATAATTTAGCATCAGGAGTTTGAAAACCCAGTTACCTTCTCAACATTAGAAGAATCTATTTTGAAAGGATTTAGCATACCAAAGTTCCCGAACAAGCACTCAACGCTTTCTCCAACAGTAGATCTGAACACATACTTTTCTATCGTCTGCCATCATAGATTTGAATTGTTTTTCCACTACTCTAATGACGAATAAAATGCAAATTATCAAAATTATCTTTTTTAAGGTGATGTTTCCTACAGTTGATGCACTAGGATACCAAACTTCGTCGCTGATCGAAGAGTTGGCTAAGAGTTCAAAATACTACACTAAATTCGCAAGATATAGTAATTCGCTACATTCTTAGATGTATTTTAACTTCTGCTTAAATTTATATAATGAATAAGATATGCTTCTCAAACTTACTCAAGCGCGAGCACTTACAAGTTTTGAAGGAGCGTTATTTTATCCGAAAACATTAGTAGAACATAACTCGGAATGCTGAAATTTAGCTGCATTCATTCACGGATTCCAAAC